GTGTCTCGTTCCCATCCACCTATCCCGTGTCGTTCCCATCCACCTATCTGTGTGTCTCGTTCCCATCCACCTATCGTGTGTCTCGTTTCCCATCCACCTATCTGTGTGTCTCGTTTCCCATCCACTATCTGTGTGTCTCGTTCTTATCCACCTATCTGTGTGTCTCGTTCCCATCCACCTATCTGTGTGTCTCGTTTCCCATCCACCTATCTGTGTGTCTGTTCATCCACCTATCTGTGTGTCTCGTTTCCCCATCCACCTAACTGTGTGTCTCGTTCCCCATCCACCTATCTGTGTGTCTCGTTCCCATCCACCTAACTGTGTGTCTCGTTCCCCATCCACCTACTCTGTGTGTCTCGTTCCCATCCACCTATCCGTGTGTCTCGTTCCCATCCACCTATCTGTGTGTCTCGTTTCCCATCCACCTATCCGTGTGTCTCGTTCCCATCCACCTATCTGTGTGTCTCGTTCCCATCCACCTATCCGTGTGTCTCGTTCCCATCCACCTATCTGTGTGTCCTGTTCCATCCACCTATCTGTGTGTCTCGTTCCCATCCACCTGACTGTGTGTCTCGTTCCCATCCACTCATCTGTGTGTCTCGTTCCCATCCACCTATCTGTGTCTCGTTCCCATCCACCTATCTGTGTGTCTCGTTCCCCATCCACCTATCTGTGTGTCTCGTTCCCATCCACCTATCTGTGTGTCTCGTTCCCCATCCACCTATCTGTGTTCTCGTTCCCATCCACCTATCTGTGTGTCTCGTTCCCATCCACCTGACTGTGTGTCTCGTTCCCATCCACCTATCTGTGTGTCTCGTTCCCATCCACCTATCTGTGTCTCGTTCCCATCCACCTATCTGTGTGTCTCGTTCTTATCCACCTATCTGTGTGTCTCGTTCCCATCCACCTATCTGTGTGTCTCGTTCCCATCCACCTATCTGTGTGTCTCGTTCTTATCCACCTATCTGTGTGTCTCGTTCCCATCCACCTATCTGTGTGTCTCGTTCCCATCCACCTATCTGTGTCTCGTTCCCATCCACCTATCCTGTGTGTCTCGTTCCCATCCACCTATCCGTGTGTCTCGTTCCCATCCACCTATCCGTGTGTCTCGTTCCCATCCACCTATCCGTGTGTCTCGTTCCCATCCACCCATCTGTGTGTTCCTGTTCCCATCCACCCATCCGTGTGTCTCGTTCCATCCACCTATCCGTGTGTCTCGTTCCCATCCACTCATCCGTGTGTCTCGTTCCCATCCACCTATCCGTGTGTCTCGTTCCCATCCACCTATCCGTGTGTCTCGTTCCCATCCACTCATAACTTATACACCACACCCTGTAGAGTAAAAATGTGATGGTTGGTGTTTATTTTTTTCCATCGTCAACGTAAAAAAAAAATGAATTATAGTTATTTTTTTTTTTTTTTATTTGGGTCAATATAAACACGACTACGACTATTGATGCCTTGTGACGGTCTCCACACACGACCGCGCACACACACACACACACACACACACACACTTGGATGTTGTCATTTTGTTTACACTAGAAGGTTCAAACATCATAACACATCATCATTTTTTTATCCACTCAATCCATCTTATTTTTCGTCGATTTACTGTACCTGAGGATGAACCGGTACAGCCCACAGTAGTTTAATACTTGTGTCATTTGTGTTTACAGCGGGTCCAATGTCACGAGAACTCACCAAATGTGTGGTGGTGTGGGGGTTGTTCTCCAGCTAATCTAACTTATTCTGACTACTTTAGATGTCACTCTGGACTAAGATACTTATATAAACATTAATACGCATACATACACATTCACACATACATAACATACTACTAACACATTATCTGGCACATACCTTATCTAACCTAACCTAACCTAACCTAACCTAACCTACGGCAAACAGTCAAACACGGGATACTTGTTAGTATAATACGGTAAACCAGATAAAACACGGGATACTTGTTAGTATAATACGGTAAACCAGATAAAACACGGGATACTTGTATAATACGGTAAACCAAGTATAACACGGGATACTTGTTTGTGTTGTGTGTTTTCAATGTTTCTCGTTTCATAAATTAATTCTTTTGTTTACCTTTTAATTGTTTACTTGTGACATTTTCTTTGTTACATGACCTGATTTGTTTGTTGTATTGTTTAGCTATAGGTGATGATATATTTCACTAAATGATGTTATTATGAGTCGATGACCTGTACCTGGGTGGGCTATTCCCCATTAAAAAACCAAAAATGATATATATCGTTTAGTTTCATTGTTTATATGAGCCATTTATATATAGTGTAAAAGTGTGTCATAAGTATTGTTTATCATATATTGTTTGTTTCATATATTGTTTATGTCATATATTGTTTGTCACTGTTTACATCTTGGCATACTGACGTCATAACTCTCCCTACAGTATATAAACAGAATAAAACAAATTCCTAAAGATTCTTACGTTCAATAATTTCTTTGACCTCAAACTTAAGAGAAAGATACATCGAGGAGGTTATGTTGAAGACCACCGCCCCACCCGCCCCCGCCCCGCCCCCCTCGCCCCCCACCCACTGGCAGAGGTCGACGCCCTCTTGGCCTCCCTACAGCTTCGTTGACTTCAGCTTTACGTGATGTAGTTTAGGTTGATCCTCCGTCACCAGTCAAGAGAGAGAGAGAGAGAGAGAGAGGAGGAGAGAGAGAGAGAGAGAGGATAATACATTCTTCTTTCCTCCTCTTCACCCCCCCAGCTACTCTCATCTTCCTATCTCCACCTTCCTTAACCCTCCCTCATCTTTACCCCTCCTTCTTTATCCCATCATTTCATCCCCTCTCCTCCTCACCCCCACCCCACAGTGAAAAGAGCTCCGCGTGTGTGTGTGTATGCGTGTGTGTGTGTGTGTGTGTGTGTGTGTGTGTGTGTGTGTCTGGCCCCACAGTACATATATACTGTACATTGCAAGTTTTTCTTTTCCAGTACAACAAACCTCTGGCAGTGGTCGTTGGTGACCCGATTGGGCACTAACAACTTCAAATCATGTCAGGATACCTCTCTCTCCCTCTCTCTCTCTCTCTCTCTCTCTCTCTCTCTCTCTCTCTCTCTCTCTCTCTCTCTCTCTCTCTCTAGTCAATATTTTAATTCCTCCCCTGAGTTATGACCTCAATAAATGCCTGTTGTTTGTGTATCGATTCCAGAGTTATATACACGGGAGCAACGACCTATGACCTCTCAGTGATCTTGACCTCCTTTATACTTTTAGAATTTAATATCATGAGATTTATTCATGTCCTGGGGAGGGAGTCAAGTGGCCGAGTGGATATAGCCCTCGTATCCCGTCCTCAGGGTAACTGGTTCGATCCCCGTTAAGTTGTGTGTCGATTAATTTGAAACTTGAAAGATTTATGGAACTTAGTCCTATATTCTCAAGTTACCTTTTGTTATTGTTATTTTAAGGTTTTGGGGAGGTGGAGAGGAGGATGAGGGGTGAGAGGAAGGGGGTGAAAGGGGGAGGGACAGTGAAGGGAGGAGAGGATCGAGGAAGGGAGGTCAAGGTCAAGTAACCCCCAAACCCGTATGTGTGTGTGTGTGTTGTGTTTGACCAGCTGTTCGGTATAGTGGAGTTATATTACATTAACTTGTCACGTACTGTCACACACACCAACCTCTCCCCTCCCACGTAATGTCATGTGCCGCCTCACCCCTGTCACGTACAACCACAATAACTCACCACTCCCAAGCACCACACCTTACCCACCACACAAGGACCTGGACGAGAACATACATGACCGACAACATCTCCGGAGTTTTATGGGTCCGCCCTGTTGAATATTTATTTGTACATAAAATATTTCCGATTTTCCATACCTGGGCTCACGTCTGGCTAACTTTAGTGGTATCCGTCTCTTTGATTGTCGCTGGGTTTTGTTTTTATTGCTTTATTCTTTTATTTCTCTCACTTTATTATTGTTTATTTTCGTATTTTATTTTGTTGTTTGTTTCTGTCATTTTTATTGGTTGTTTTATTCAGTTATTTTATTGATTTTTTTTTCTATTTATGTGACTTTTTTCTTTATTCTGTTATTTTATTTCGCTATTCCTTTATTCCCGTCACTTAATTGTTATTTATTGTAATTTCATTTATTTATCTAATTCTGACATCTTTCTTGATTTATTTACTCATTCTATTATATTATTTCTTCACTTATTCCCTCAGTTTTAACTTCAAGAACACATGGATTATATAGCGTTAAGGATCTGAATACGAACCTAATAGTGTGTGTGTGTGTGTGTGTGTGTGTGTGTGTGTGTGTGTGTGTGTGTGTGTGTGTGTGTGTGTGTGTGTGTGTGTGTGTGTGGGGTATTTTTGCCTCCCCCCCTTTCCTCTTCTCCCCCCCCCCCCTTTGCGGATACCAAATCCCCTTTGCCGGATAGTGCTGTCCCCCCTTTGCCGGATAGTGCTGCCTAGAATGTCTCCTCCCCAATCTGCATTTTTAATCACTTCCGCCCTCGAACAGTAGAGTGTGTGGTTCCCGGTTTATGGTTCCCCAGGAGGCAGGTGACTCAATGAAACAGGCAGTTCTGAGTTCCTCCCAGGTGTCGTGTGTGGTAGAAATTGAGCTTCTTAGGTTAGGTTAGTTTAATTTTATGGTTAGGTTGATTAGGTTTAGGATTAGGTTAGGTTGGGTTAGGTTGGGTTGGAGTTGGGTTACGTTGGGTTACGTTGGGATAGGTTGGGTTAGTTTAGGGTTGGGTTCGGTTGGTTTAATTTAGGTTAGGTTGGTTTAGTTTAGGTTGGGTTGGTTTGGGATGGGTGGGTTGGTTTAGGATGGGTTGGTTTAGGATGGGTTAGGTTGGGTTAGGTTACGTTAGGATGGGTTAGGTTGGGTTCTCGCTGGTGTAATACACGAAGGGAGTGAACGGCTTATAGTAACAGCAAACAACGACCAACATTCTGGGTCTTGACGTGAGACTCAGGAACAACGACGCTGTCACTCAGTTATGGCGGGCGCTGGGACATGGTGGGGGCTGGGAACATGGCGGGTGCTGGGGACATGGTGGGGGCTGGGGGGTGGGGTGCTGGGGACATGGCGGGGTGCTCAGGGGACATGGTGGGGTGCTGGGGAGATGGTGGGGTGCTGGGGACATGGCAGGGCGCTGGGGACATGGTGGGGGCTGGGGAGATGGTGGGGGCTGGGGACATGGCAGGTGCTGGGGACATGGCAGGTGCTGGGGACATGGGGGTGCTGGGGGACATGGTGGGGCTGGGGACATGACGGGGCGCTGGGGACATGGCGGGGTGCTGGGGACGACAGGGGCGCTGGGGACATGACGGGGCGCTGGGGACATGGCGGGTGCTGGGGACATGGTGGGGGCTGGGGAGATGGGGGTGCTGGGGACATGGCGGGGTGCTGGGGGACACGAGGGGCGCTGGGGCCTTGACAGGGCGCTGGGGACATGGCGGGGTGCTGGGAATGGTGGGGGCTGGGGAAGGTGCTGGGGACATGGCAGGGGCGCTGGGGACATGGGGTGCTGCTGGGGACATGGTGGGGGCTGGGAACAAAGGACAGGGCTGGGGTTGGCGGGGCGCTGGGGACATGGCAGGGGCGCTGGGGACATGGTGGGGTGCTGGGGACATGGCGGGGGTGCTGGGGACATGTGGGGGCTGGGGTGACAGGGCGCTGGGGACATGGCGGGGTGCTGGGGACTGACAGGGCGCTGGGGACATGACGGGGCGCTGGGGACATGGGGGTGCTGGGGACATGGCAGGTGCTGGGGACATGGCGGGGTGCTGGGGATATGGCGCTGGGACATGGCGGGTGCTGGGACATGGTGGGGTGCTGGGGAGATGATGGGGCGCTGGGGACATGGCGGGGTGCTGGGGACACGACAGGGGCGCTAGGGACATGGCGGGGTGCTGGGGACATGGTGGGGCTGGGGCGCTGGGGGGACAGGGGTGCGTGGGGACACGACGGGGCGCTGGGGACATGACAGGGGCGCTGGGGACATGGCGGGCGCTGGGGACATGGCGGTGCTGGGGACATGGCAGGTGCTGGGGACATGGCGGGGCTGGGGACATGGTGGGGTGCTGGGGACATGGCGGGGTGCTGGGGGACTGGTGGGGGCTGGGGTGTGGGGGCGCTGGGGACGGGTGCTGGGACACGACAGGCGCTGGGGAGATGACAGGGCGCGGGACATGGCGGGGTGCTGGGGACATGACGGGGTGCTGGGGACATGGCGGGGTGCTGGGGACATGGCGGGGTGCTGGGGACATGGCGGGGCGCTGGGGACATGGCGGGGTGCTGGGGACATGGTGGGGTGCTGGGGACATGGTGGGGTGCTGGGGGGGAGATGGTGGGGCTGGGGACATGGCGGGGTGCTGGGACATGGCGGAGCGCTGGGGACATGGCAGAGGGTGCTGGGGACATGGTGGGGGCTGGGGTGACGGGGCGCTGGGGACATGCAGGGGTGCTGGGGCATGAAGGGCGCTGGGGACAGACAGGGCGCTAAGGGACATGGCAGGGGTGCTGGGGACATGGCAGTGCTGGGGACATGGCAGTGCTGGGGACACGACGGGGTGCTGGGGACATGGCGGGGTGCTGGGGACATGGCAGGTGCTGGGGACATGGTGGGTGCTGGGGACATGACAGGGCGCTGGGGACATGGCGGGGTGCGCTGGGGATGGCGGGTGCTGGGGACATGGTGGGGTGCTGGGGACATGGTGAGGTGCTGGGGACATGGCTGGTCGCTGGGGACATGGCGGGGTGCTGGGGACATGGTGGGGTGCTTGGGACATGGTGGGATGCTGGGGACGCAGGGGGGTGCTGGGACATGGCCGTGGAACTGGATATTTCTGGGCGTCATGCATGTTAGAGAGAGAGAGAGCTATAAAATACAACACACTCTATACTGTGGGTCGTCAAGTGCATTACCATAACAAATAAGGTTGAGGGACAAGAAAAAAATAAACACAAGAACAAAATTAATAAATAATAAAGGTAAAGAATAAATTTTAAATCCTACCACCTACCACTTGAGTTATACCACCTACCACCTGGATTATACCACCTACCACTTGAGTTATACCACCTACCACCTGGATTATACCTACCACCTGAATGAATTATAAGACCCTCTCACCTTAGATACACCAAGTGAGGAAGCAATTATATCTACCACCTGAATCATGTCACCTACCATCTCGATTATACCACCTACCACCTGAATGAATTATAAGACCCTCTCACCTTCGTCCCCAGCAAGTGAGAGCAATTATGTCTACCACCTGAATCATGTCACCTACCATCTCAATTATACCACCTACCACCTGAATTATAGACCCTCCTCCCCTCTCACCTTCGTCCCCAGCAGGTAAAAGAAGTACAGTTATAGATGGTGTGACTCACTAGCCTTTAACTTATCGACCCCTGGACATCGATTGACAGCTTCCAGTTAAGGGCGACAGGTAAGCCACACTCAGCCTCCGATATCAGAATACTGCACCAGTTTGGGGGGATTTATCGGAGGGAAAAATAGGTGATTTTACGGTATTTACGATATTACTGAAGGGGATTTATTTATTGGTTTAGTTATGTCTATAGCCAGAGGGTTTATTAGGTTTATTTATCTATGTTTTATTAGAGATAAGGATTTATTTATGATTTATATAGAAGGGGGATTTATTCTTGAGTTATATAGATGTGGGATTTATCGATGATTTTTTATAGAGAGGATTTATATAGAGGTGGAGATTTTTCGATGATGTATTTTAAAGAAAGAAGGATTTATTGGTTTAATTATCTACATTTTATAAGAAAACCGGATTTATATACGATTTATAAAGAGGGGGATTTTTTTATGAATACAGAGGAGAGTATTTATTCGTTTACTCAAGTTTAAACAGAAAGAAGGATTTATGTATATAGGAAACATCTTTGGAGAGAGAGAGAGAGAGAGAAGAATAAACAAAATATATAGTGAAATTGAAAGATAGGCAGAGATAAAAAGAGAAATACAAAGAAAAAAGAGAGAGACAAATAAAGGAAATATAAAGTTGAAGTTTGTTGAAACATCTCTTGAACGAAACATTCTGAAATAAGTGAACAGTGAACAAAACTCTGAGAGTAGCATGAACGTCCTTAAAAGATTCATGTGTTTCAAAGGTTATAAACAAGTTTCTTTTTTTATTGATCTTACTGGTCCTTTCCATTTGATTTTTTTTACTTACTTTCTTTATTTCCTTCTCTCTCTCTTCTTTTCCTTCGCTCTGTCTCTCTCTTTCTTTCCTTCTATATATCTTACTTTCTTTTCTTCCCTTTCTGCATTTCTATCTCTCTCTCTTTCCTTCTCTCCTCTTTCTTTCTTTCTTTCTCTCTCTCTCTCTCTCTCTCTCTCTCTCTCTCTCTCTCTATCTCTCCGTCAGCATAAACTCTACGGTGTTATCCTGCCATGTTTAACTTACTGCTCCTATAACCTGTAGCAAATCAGTTAGGCAGACATACATACATACATACATACATACACATACATACATACATACATACTTACATACATACATACATACATACATACATACATACATACATACACATACATACCTATATACAGTGCTGTGCTAAAACCTGATTTAATTTGTCTTATGCCATTTTACAGATCGTTTTTAGTATAAGTATATGAACTTATCAGTGATTAAAAGGCACAAAGGTTTTAATAAACACCCTGCAAACAGAACCCAAGATTAGGTTAGGTTAGGTTAGGTTAGGTTGGGTTAGGTTGGGATGGGTTGGGTTGGGTTGGGTTGGGTTGGGTTTGGTTGGGTTGAGTTGGGTTGGGTTGTTAGGTTGGGTTGGGTTGGGTTACGTTAGGTTGGGTTGGGTTGGGTTGGGTTGGGTTAGGTTGGTTGGGTTGGGTTGGGTTGGGTTGGGTTAGGTTGGGTTGGGTCACGTTAGGTTGGGTTAGTTGGGTTGGGTTGGGTTGGGTTGGGTTGGGTTGGGTTGGGTTGGGTTGGGTTGGGTTGGGTTGGGTTGGGTTGGGTTGGGTTGGGTTGGGTTGGGTTGGGTTGGGTTGGGTTGGGTTGGGTTGGGTTACGTTAGGTTGGGTCACGTTAGGTTGGGTTGGGTTGGGTTGGGTTGGGTTGGGTTGGGTTGGGTTGGGTTGGGTTGGTAGGCCTAAATTTAATCAATGTTTATCTCCGCTACAATAAACACATAATAATAGAGATATAATGTGGCAACTTTCCTAACCTGTCAGGTGTACCGAAAAATTTTGTTTTTTTCCTCAGATGTAAAGTTGAGAGGAAAAAAGCCTGGAAATATTGGGGAGACTCACGGGGTCACAGTGTCAGCTGAGTCATACAGTGTCAGCTGAGGTCATACAGTGTCAGCTGGGTCATACAGTGTCAGCTGAGTCATACAGTGTCACCTGGGTCATACAGTGTCAGCTGAGTCATACAGTGTCAGCTGAGTCATACAGTGTCAGCTGGAGTCATACAGTGTCAGCTGAATCATACAGTGTCAGCTGAGTCATACAGTGTCAGCTAGTCATACAGTGTCAGCTGAGTCATACAGTGTCAGCTGAGTCATACAGTGTCAGTGGAGTCATACAGTGTCAGCTGAATCATACAGTGTCAGCTGGGTCATACAGTGTCAGCTGGAGTCATACAGTGTCAGCTGGGTCATACAGTGTCAGCTGAGCTCATACAGTGTCAGCTGAGTCATACAGTGTCAGCTGAGTCGCCAGTGTCAGCTGAGTCATACAGTGTCAGCTGAGTACAGCAACGTATACAGTGTCAGCTGAGTCATACAGTGTCAGCTAGGTCATACAGTGTCAGCTAGTCATACAGTGTCAGCTGAGTCATACAGTGTCAGCTGAGTCATACAGTGTCAGCTGAGTCATACAGTGTCAGCTGAGTCATACAGTGTCAGCTGAATCATAGTGTCAGCTGAGTTCATACAGTGTCAGCTGGTCATACAGTGTCACTGGGTCATACAGTGTCAGCTGGGTCATACAGTGTCAGCTGAGGTCATACAGTGTCAGCTGAGTCGACAGTGTCCTGAGTCTACAGTGTCAGTGGAGTCTACAGTGTCAGCTGATCATAGTGTCACTGAGTCATACAGTGTCAGCTGAGTCATACAGTGTCAGCTGAGTCATACAGTGTCGCTGAGTCATACAGTGTCAGCTGGAGTCATACAGTGTCAGCACACATGTCAGCTGAGTCCAGCCACCAGTCATACAGTGTCAGCTGAGTCATACAGTGTCAGCTGAAGTCGCCACAGTGTCAGCTGAGTCATACAGTGTCAGCAGGTCTACAGTGTCCTGTGGAGTCATACAGTGTCAGCTGAGTCATACAGTGTCAGCTGAGTCATACAGTGTCAGCTGGGTCATACAGTGTCAGCTGAGTCATACAGTGTCAGCTAGGTCATACAGTGTCAGCTGGAGTCATACAGTGTCCAGCTGAGTCATACAATCATCACTTCAGGTCATACAGTGTCAGCTGAATCATAGTGTCAGCTAGTCATACAGTGTCAGCTGAGTCCGATGTCAGCTTCAGTCATACAGTGTCAGCTGAGTCATACAGTGTCAGCTAAGTCATACAGTGTCAGCTAGGTCATACAGTGTCAGCTGAGTCATACAGTTCAGCTGAGTCATACAGTGTCAGCTGACTGGTATCAGCTGAGTCATACAGTGTCAGCTGAGTCAACAGTGTCAGCTGGTCATACATTCAGCTGATACAGTGTCAGCTGAGTCATACAGTGTCAGCTGAGTCATACAGTGTCAGCTGATCATAATGTCAGCTGATCATACAGTTCAGCTGATCATACGTCACTGGTCATGTCAGCAGAGTCATACAGTGTCAGCTGGGTCATACAGTGTCAGCTGGGTCATACAGTGTCAGCTGTGAGTCATACAGTGTCAGCTGAGTCATACAGTGTCAGCTGAGTCATACAGTCAACTGATACACATCAGCTGAGTCATACAACACCTTTATCCTTTATTTCTATTTATTTATTTTATTATTTATTTGTGTATTTATTTATTATTTATATGTATATATTTATTCATTTGTATTCATTTATTCATTCATTTATGTATTTATTCTCATTTGTTTATTTATTCATTCATTCATATATTTATTTTTTATTATAGACTGAACATAACCAATAAAAACGCACGACTTTCATCATTAACTTTATAGTACAATGAGAACCTTGATGGATGTATAGACGGGATCAAAATAAACCTCCATCACAGGAATTAAAAGTAGCAGTTGTGGAGAAAAATTCGATAGAGAGAGAGGAGGGAGGGAGAGGAGGGGGAGGGAGGGAGGGGAGGAGGGAGGAGGAGGGAGGAGGAGGAGGAGGGAGGGTGGGTGTAGATGGAGGGACTAAACTAGGCAGCGTTACATAGAGATGCCGATGAAAGAGCTACATAATTTTCACACACACACACACACACACACACACACACACACACACACACACACACAGGAATAGTCTTTACTTAGTATAAAACAGGCAAAAACAAAACAATATACTGTAACAAGATATTTTATGAGTCTGTAGTCTTCTTTGAAATGAACTGTACTGAAGGGTAGCTGTCGTCAAAGTCTCATTCAAAAAGCATCATAAGGGTAAATCGCACTTAAGTTGTCGTACTAGGAATAGTCATCATACTCAAGGGTATTCACATCGGGGTTAAATTATCCTGTGTCATCGTACAGTACTCAAGTGGTAAATCCTCATCAACATGGACTCATTGTGACATACGATAGCACCGTATATCTCTAGGCACGTAGTCTCAAAGTACTAATAAGTTGTCCCGATTGCAAAATATAATACTCTAAATCTAAAAATCGCCCTCTTAATCCAT